ACCTGCTGCCAGTGCACTCTGCTCCCTCATCTGTTAGGATGGAGGGCACTGGCCTGAAGATGAAACAAGATAAAACACCGATCCACACGTAGGCTTCAGTTGAGCAAATCCACGTGGAAAGACAAAGCTTTTTAATGTTTGCTTTGAAATAGAACCCTCTTCCAGTTTGAATTGAGGTTGAACACTTCAGAGCTATCAATACAAGTGGCTTCCTGTGAACTAACTTAATGAGCTGAGCAAAAACACAATCCTCACCAAACAGAGCTGTGCAAATACAACAGGAGGCAGGACAGAGTCTGTTCAGAATTGTCAGCATACTGGTATGCAAGAAATCCTGTAACACTTGGAAAAGGTCCCACTACTTCCTGGCAGTTTCTGCTGTGACAATCTATACCATGAACAAATCACTTTATATATTTCCATTTCTTAGAAGTGCAATAGTTTTCTATTTATTTGTAAGTGAAAAATAGATCACTGGAAATCCTTGAGGAAAAAAGGAATACAGAAATCCCACAAAATACTTGACTCGTGACTGAGATCATCCTTTAACACAAGGATGATCCAGCACATCTGCATTATCCTTGCAGGATTAGGAAAATGTGAATTACAGAGCTCTCTTCCTGACTGGGACAATATTCACCTTCCAGCTGCAGATTTCCTATCTGACATTACTTCCACTAACTCAAACTATGTTCTCCTGAAATCTACAGCAACACATTCTTACCTAAGAGAGTTCTTTTCCAAAACTCAACAAACTGCATGAATAAGCGCACAAGTTTTGGAAACATAAAGCCACAAGAGTTGTTGGGAGTCATCTTACCTAATTTTACAGGAAAGCCTGGTGGAAGCTTCATTTGAACAAATTCTCTAAGTTTGTTAAAGTGCTTGAAGGGTGCAATTACTTCTAAAACATTCAACAATCTGAAAAGGAAAGACAATTTCATTATCAATTCTTGTTTCACAAGCTTAGATGAGCTAGAAATGACCCAGAGAGCAAGGTGATAAAAAGGGAGTTGAAAAATTAACATAATGATTACACATCAATCTCCTCAGAGCTCCAAGATCAGCGCCCTCACGTTCTGAGGGATCCATATTGTATTATCACAGCTGTACAAATAAACATCCCAGAAATATATACAGCTGATTTCAGATGTTAATGAAAATAGCCTATATGTGAACAAAATATCACGCTGAACTAGAAGAAGGTTAATTTGCTTTCAGCCTGAAATATGGCCATTTCTTGAGGACAAGAAATTAATATCCACACAAGAGAGTCCACCCAAGAGAGTGAAGCAGGCAGGACCACACTCTCTTCTCCACAGACATCAGGAACCCGATGTGGTTTTGTACTGGTTCAGAGGACACACCTTCATGCTAACACTTGTTTAGAATTCTACAGAATCAGGCAGGTCAGTGCTGTGAGAAGTTAATGATAAAACTGGTCAAACCCCTGGTCTTACCAAGCACGAGAAGCACTTGGCTCCTCCAACAACAGACACACAGCGCCGAGGTCTCTGATTTTACCAGGTGACTTGCTTAACAGCACGACCTCATTGACAGGTTTTAAACTGCCCAATTCCCATAGCTGAAGACACAAAGACTTTTGCAGCTAATGAACACATTAAAACATTTCCTACACACAAGCAACATTCGTGGCCAATCATTCTGACTTACGATTCAATTCCTAAGGGAAATTCCTGGCTCATAGCTATTGTGGCTTTGAAAGTTTTCTTGCTTTCTTTGCAGACCAGCTCTCTGCCCAGATGAGGAGCTCTAAGGGGGGGGAGAGAAAGATAAAGTCAGGTTTTTTCCCCAGTGAAACCTTGGTTTTAAAGGAAGGAAGAGAGACTCAGGCTTCAAAACATCAGTAAAGAATCCCTATGATAAAGCAAATACTTTGAAAGTAAAAGCTGTGCATGGTGCAGATGAGTCAGTAACCATCTTCACTTAGATTACTGTGAGGTCTCTAAACTGGGAGATAAGACAACAACAAGCAGGGAAACAACTTGAGAAAAATCTTAAATAATTCCTCCTCAACATTATGTTAATGAACACTATAGAAAGACATGACAACTACCCGCAAATATATACAGCTGATTTCAAATGTTAATGGAAATAGTCTATATGTGAACAAAATATCACGTTGAACTAGAGGAAGGTTAATTTGCTTTCAGCCTGAAATATGGAACAACCTCAGAGAAAGCAGAGAAGTTCCTCTGCTGTCACTAGAGGCAATACTGGAAAACAGAGGAGAGAAAATTCTGTTCTAGCAGAGGAACAGACAGGCAAAAAGTAACGTAGCAAATCTTTTCCTCTTTACATTATCTAGAAACTTAGATTTCCCTTTAAACTCCCTTCAGTTCATCTGATTATTGAACAAAGCAAAAGTGTTATATACACACGTATTTCTGCTCCAATAGGAACAGCTGCTCAAGCATAACCTATTTATTCTGCTTGAATATTCATTCCATCTCAAAGCCATTTAAAATTAAATTAGTTAAAAACCCCCAAGCCCCCCCCAAAACTGATCCATGTGCCCTTTTAGTAAGTCAGTGCTGTAAGGTCATCGTTCTCCCTGGTAACATCTGACTCCAGGCCAGTCTAGGACCTCTGGAGAAAGGACCTTTATCATCGTTACTTGTCTGACACACTCAGCACATTTTCTGATCCTTTTACACTCAATAGCTGGGCAGCATGCAGTCCTAGAAAATAAACTCAACTGCTGGCATCTTCTACAAATGAAGCTACTGTAAATTAATTTAAATTATAGCTGTTTGCCACCTAGTTACACACCTAGAGGAGAGTAACTTGCAAAAATCCAGCCAGCAGCAGATCTGAATGTCCCTGTATTCCCTAAGTGTGCATTTTTCTACGCTGCCACTGCTACTAGAGTCTCATTACATCATAAACTTGAATTTTAAACACAGTGAATTGGATTATTTATTACTATCATAAGATAAATGAATTACAGCAATTAATTTGTCAGAAAATCTTTCTTTAAAAAGAAAAAAAAAGCCAGTTTAGATGTGCATATTTTCAAAATGTTTCAATTTCAAGCAATAGGTACCAGGTAGACACCCAGCCAATATTTTTATCACCAGCTGATGCAGTAACACTGTTCACATACATAGGTATCAGCTTCCCAGCCAGCCTACTGAAAGGTGTGCAGCATCTGAGACATCACACCCAATGTTCCTCTGTCCCCAAAAAAACTATAAATAAAAAGCACCCAAACTAGAGAACACACAAAAACCCCCACCCCACTGCCAAAAAATAATAAAAACCCCACTCCACTGCCTAAAAATAATAAAAACCCCACTCCACTGCCTAAAAATAATAAAAACCCCCACCCCACTGCCTAAAAATAATAAAAAACCCCACCCCACTGCCAAAAAATAATAAAAACCCCCACCCCACTGCCAAAAAATAATAAAAACCCCACTCCACTGCCTAAAAATAATAAAAACCCCGCTCCACTGCCTAAAAATAATAAAAACCCCCACCCCACTGCCAAAAAATAATAAAAACCCCACCCCACTGCCTAAAAATAATAAAAAACCAACCAACCCAAATCACCCACTGCCAAAAAAAAAAAACCTATTAAAAAACCCCACAACAAGCCCAAACCAATACTCTAAAGGTGTTGGTGGAAGTTAATGCCAATGAACCCAAAGCACTCACTTTCCATTTTCAGCAGATATGTACTCTTCCCACGTGATGGTGTTGGGTGATGGAGGAGTCAGCGACTGCCGCCTGACAGGCTGTTGGGAAAAATATGCCTTAATTATTCCTGTTTCTTTATATTCTCTCAGCATTTTGTTATTTAACAGACACAACTGTGCTTCATTTCTACAAACAGCAATATAGCCTGTCCCGTTTGTGGCTGATCCTTCACCGGGCTTTTCCATCTCCTGCTCTTGCTCTCATTGTCTCCATTCAGGAATCTGGCCTGAAATTCTATTTTACATACAAGCTGGCTGGTGTAATACATCAGTTAATCAGTTCATTCAAGTGTCTGAATGACAAGTAACAAAGCACGAGCTGTATAACACAGAAATTAATTAATCATTTTAAATGCATGTTCCCAGATGATGTCTGGCTCATTCTGAGTAGCTCTTGATTTCATGGTGATAATAACAGGTTCAGTCCATGTTAATGAAGCTAGAGGAAAACATGATTGAGAAGAAAACCAAAAAGGCATTCTAAACAATAAAGATTTGGTCTAAAAAAAAAAAAGTTAAAAGTGATTTGCCACAGTCAACACCATCATCTTTTGATAATGGACAAATTTAGACTACAATATCCAGTATAATCAGGATAATTCATTAATGTATGACCATGATTATAATTGCAGGCCATATTATTATTTTAATTTTAAGATAGAATAAAAGTATTAACTATAGATCTTGCTAAATGACTGGCATGAAAGATTATTCTCCTATGTAAAAATTCATATACTGTGAAGAATATACCTCAAAATTTTGTTCCATTAAGTTGCCACCTTTACTCAGGCTCTCCATGATAGCTTTATTTCGAAGAATGTCCTCCTCACTGAGATGTTCTCTTCTTTTCCTTGATTCTAACACAAGTCCATTCACCAAGTAGAAATCTGCCAGAAAGTTTCCTACTCTCTCCTGCACAAAAGGAAATGGACATTAATGACCCATAAAGAGAAAATAAAAACATTTAATTTCTCGTAGAGCCAAATAACTGCACTTCAGTGCAATAAGATAACTTCAGGACTAAAATGTTGTCATTTACACAACCAACCACAGGAGCTCTCCGTGGTTACAGCTCTCTTCCAATCCCAGTAAGGTCCATACAGTACAAACACAAGGACTCCAGCAGAAGCAGAGATTTCATATTAATGGAAACTTTAAGGCAGGAAAGATTCAGCTCCGAAGAGAAGGACTTGGGAGTGG